AAAATATATATATTTATATACTTAAATTTAGCTTTATGGCTTGTCACATTATTCTGCAGAAATCAGTCTAATCATCTTTTTAGGCGTTTAACAAATGTATTTATTTTGACACTTTACATTCTTTGATCTGTGTTTTGTGAAATTAACATATTTCCCACATGTTGTTTATTATTTTTTTTATAAAACTATATGGAATCAAACAGTTAAACTAATTTAGTTAGTTTCATCCTGCATCTACTATGTTATCATTGGCTATCGGAATGTCTGATTGGTTCATTTGATTGTTTAATTTCAGGGTTTGTACGTCAGTGGCGTGATTGGAGATCGGTTCAACCTCCGCTACGTTCTGTCCTTCGGTTTATGTGGATCAGCCATCACGGTTAGTATTCTGCTGAAATGCATTCAGATTGGTCTCTGTGTTTTCACTGCATGTACCATCAATACAAATAAACTGTTGAGGGCAGTTGAAGACTTCGCTGGCTGGAATTGAGTTTTAGAGTTTTAGAAAATATCTAAGTCTACATTATTAACTCCCTTTAGAATGTTTTCCCAATTGTCTACAGAACAAGTCACTGTTATCCATTAGCTTATGTAGTTATCCTAATTAACCTAGTTAAACCTATAAATTGCACTGTAAGCTGAATACTAGTATCTTGCAAAATAGTAAATGATGATAAAATATGATTTACTGCGATCATGGTAAAGAGACAAAGTTAGTTAATCTCTTGTGTTTAAATTGTGTTGAAATGTTTTCTGTTTAGGAATTCGTTTTTGGCACTTTGACAGAGTGGCTACACTTCTATAACGTGTATTTGTACTGCGTCCTGTGGGTGATTAATGGACTGCTGCAGTCTACAGTGTGGCCCTGCGTGGTGGCCATCATGGGCAACTGGTTTGGGAAATCCGGGTAGGTATCAGTGCTTCAAGACGTGTACAGACATGGGTGGGGGGACGCGACGTATATGAAGAGCGGTGGGGGCGTGTGCGCGCGACCAATCTGAAGAGCGGTGGGGGCGTGTGCGCGCGACCAATCTGAAGAGCGGTGGGGGCGTGTGCGCACGACGAATCAGAAGTGTGCGCTACGAATCTGAAGAGTGATGGGGCGTGTGCGCGACGAATCTGAAGAGTGATGGGGCGTGTGCGTTTGACGAACCTGAAGAAAGGTGGGGGTGTGTGCGCGCGACGAATCTAAAGAGCGGTGGGGGCATTGTGCGCGCGACCAATCTGAAGAGCGGTGGGGGCGTGCGCACGACCAATCTGAAGAGCGGTGGGGGCGTGTGCGCGCGACCAATATGAAGAGCGGTGGGGGCGTGTGCGCGCGACCAATATGAAGAGCGGTGGGGGCGTGTGCGCGCGACCAATCTGAAGAGCGGTGGGGGCGTGTGCGCGCGACCAATATGAAGAGCGGTGGGGGCGTGTGCGCGCGACCAATATAAAGAGCGGTGGGGGCGTGTGCGCGCGACCAATCTGAAGAGCGGTGGGGGCGTGTGCGCGCGACCAATCTGAAGAGCGGTGGGGGCGTGTGCGCGCGACCAATCTGAAGAGCGGTGGGGGCGTGTGCGCGCGACGAATCTGAAGAGCGGTGGGGGCCTGTGCGCGCGACCAATCTGAAGATCGGTGGGGGCGTGTGCGCGCGACCAATCTGAAGAGCGGTGGGGGCGTGTGCGCGCGACCAATCTGAAGAGCGGTGGGGGAGTGTGCGCGCGACGAATCTGAAGAGCGGTGGGGGTGTGTGCGGTTGACGAATCTGAAGAGCGGTGGGGGTGTGTGCAGTTGACGAATATGAAGAGCGGTGGGGGCGTGTGTGCTTGACGAATCTGAAGAGCGGTGAGGGGGTGTGCTCGCGACAAATCTGAAGAGCAATTGGGGCGTGCGTGCGTGCGAGATGTACCTGAAGAGCAGTGTGGTGGGGGTGAGTTGCGCGGGACGTACAGTACCTGAAGAGCTGGGAGGGATACGGTGGAGAGGAGTTTGCGACGTATTCAAGGACCGGGTGGGAGATGCGTAATTTCCGGGAGATTATCATTCGTTTGCGGGCATCCGGGAGACTTGGGATGTCTGTGTTTGATCATTTTTCTTTACTATTTTATATATATTGGCTTCAGAGCAAAAACATTGTTTTAAATGATGCTGTATGTTTTAAATTATCTTTTCTAATAGCACTTTTTTTTTAACTCTTTTTTCACTCTTTTCGACTTGATTTGATTTTGGGGTGATCTAGATGATGAGTAAAGGTCCATTGTATGAGGACTGAACTCACTAAATAGCCTTTAAAAATCATTCAATTCACTACAGAATGTTTCGTTTTCACACACACATGCACAAATAGCTTGTAAACACATCAGCCTTTCACGTCGTAACGCTCACTACTCGAGTACTCTTGACAGGGCTACTTGGAGTAATATTTATACTTTTGCTCTACTTTCACTACATTTTCCGCCAAGTAGTCGTATTTGTACTTAAGCGATACTTTTTAATACGCTTTCCACCTCTGTTTCTGGCTTTAAAGATGATTCGCCTTCTGAAAAATGATGTGTTGTGATTGGTTGGCTTTCCCTGTGCATTTTGATTGGCCAACAAGATCAGTCTGTTCCGCAGTGATTGACACTTCTTATCGAAGATCAAAACTTCTCAATGTATTTATTGGTGTAATACATGTATCTACTAGCCAAACAAAACATTTAGTGTCGAAATACACACTCATGTCAATTGGAGATGACAATCATAATCAGTGTACTCAATCTGATGATCTGAGATGTGCTCTTTAGGTAATAAAAACATTTACTCTATTCTTCCCCCAGTTCAACAGACACTTATGGTCATGCATTTCTGGAGAAGTTGATGTATTTACGTGTTGTAAATCCAGCAGCTATAATCTGTCCACTGCAGTAACACGACGGCCCCCCCATCAGCAGTCATAGCTAGTTCATCAAGATGTTTAAATGCTTAATCTTACACATTTTAGGATAGGAATATCGAATACTTCAGAATATAATCAATCAGAGCCAGGAATATTGATCAAGAAGGTCACGCAGAAGTTTTGCACACACAAGTATAACAAGACATATCAGAGTGGCGACATTGTTGACTGCCGCCTCCAACAATTTTGACCCTCACCTGCTCAAGCTCATCCTAGCCTAATTTCCATTGGTGGGATTTGTGACATCATAGCAATGTTTGTAGTCCAAACAAGCCATTCATTGTAGTTCTTCAAAATATATATCGATTTAGGAAATATCTTTCTTTGGGGTGGACTTTGAGCTTTCAATCTTTGTAGATCTTTTATATACCTTAGTATGCACACTACACACTGATTAACATTTAAAATAGGGAAACAGAATGATAGGACCCCTTTAAATGCTCTCTAACCTGTTTTGTTTGATGTATGAAGTGAATTACAGTAAGAGGATTGTAGTAAATTTTTAATTTGGGGGTGGAATTTACAGAAGTGTGACATTATGGTCCTTAAAGACGAGTTATAGCATTAATTGTGCTTCTAAATGTGCGTTTTGGTGTCTTCTGTTCGGCAGCCGAGGCTTTGTGTTTGGACTGTGGAGTGCGTGCGCATCTGTGGGGAATATTCTGGGGGCGTTTCTCGCCTCCAGTGTCTTGAAGTATGGCTATGAGGTGAGGGTACACGACACTCCTTCATAACAATACTGAAAATATTTGAAGTAAAACGTTTTCTGTGAGTTCATCTTAAAGGGCCATGAAACCCCCCGTTTCAGCAGGATATTTTCACACCGCTAGTTTGGAAAAAGTCAGGAAAGTGGGTGTGTCTAGCTCTGGGTGGAGTGTAGGGGGAGGAAAAATGGGCAGGGTTTGGATAAAAATGGGCAGGGTTTGGATCAAAATGGGCAGGGTTTGGATCAAAATGGGCAGGGTTTGAATAAAAATGGGCAGGGTTTGAATAAAAATGGGCAGGGTTTGGATAAAAATGGGCAGGGTTTGGATAAAAATGGGCAGGGTTTGGATAAAAATGGGCAGGGTTTGGATAAAAATGGGCAGGGTTTGGATAAAAATGGGCATGGTTTGAATAAAAATGGGCAGGGTTTGGATAAAAATGGGCAGGGTTTGGAACAAAATGGGCAGGGTTTGGAACAAAATG